TATTCGAAACTATTTGATATTTTATTGTTAACTATAACTGTCCTGTTAGTAGTGGTATAGAGCACTAAAATTTATTTTTCCTATCTAGCTGTAGTTTTGTATCCTTTAACAAATTTCTCCCTATTCCTCCCTTCCCCCTACCCTTCTCAGCCTCTGATATTCTCTGTTCTACTTTTTACTTTTATGAAATTAACTTTTTTTAGCTTCCACATGTGAGCAAGAATGTGTGGTGGTTAGCTTTCTATTCCTGGCTAATTTCACTTAACATAATATCCTCCAATTCCATCCATGTTCCCTCAGATGACAGCATTTCATTCTTTTTTATGGGTAAATAGTATTCCATTTTGTATATATATAATCACATTTTTTTTATTCATCGTTGTTGGACACCCATGTTCATTCTGTGTCTTGGCTGTCATGAATAGTGCTGCAATAAACATTCCACTCTATGAATTTACCACAGTTTGTTTATGCATTCGCCTATTGAAGGACATCTTGGTTACTTCCAGTTTTGGGAGACTGTGAATAAAGACTACTTTAAACATTTATATATAGATTTTTATATGGACATAACTTTTTAGCTCAGCTGCCCACACGCCAAGGAGTGGGATTGCTGGCTTATATGGTAAGACTATGTTGAGCTTTGTGAGAAACTGCCAAATTACCAGGGTTTGTGTTCTGTGCATATGTGTTCTTAGGACTCAACCTAACGAAAAGCTTGGAGGGATATACTCTAAACCGTTAACAATAGTTATTTGGGGAGATGAGATTGGGATGGAGGGGGACTCTTATCTTTTACTGATTTGTTTTATATTATTTTAATTTTTCCACAACAAAATCTTCATAATAAATTTTTACAAATAATTTTCTTCAAAATACTTTAACTCATCATAATATGACTCAACGTAAGTGAGAAAAGTAAAACTATTTAAAATAGAATATTGTCAGTTTCATAGCATTTTCTAGTTGTAGTAGATTTTAATATTTTTTAAGAGAGCAATAACCTTCCTACTATCATGATTGTCTATTCAGCAAATTTGTAGAGCATCTGCCATGTGGCACAGCCTTTCAAAGGATCATGCCTAGAGCTAAGAGGACAACACCCTTAATCCAGCCTTAGGATACCAGGAGAGACTCCTGGAGGAAGTGATAACTAAACTGAATCCTGAAGGACAAGTCTGAGTTAACCAGGCAAAACGGGGAGGGGGACGGGGAAAGGAGAATGTACCATAATGAGGACAGTTTTCAGACTGAGACCAAGCTATTCACTTCTGATTAATTTGACTAAAATCAGAATTAATTCTTCCAAACTCTCAGAGAAGCATATTAGATCTTTTCATGTTGTTGACTCTTGTTTAATAATTGGCAGCTGAGAAGAATGGAGTCATTTTCATTTCGTTTCTGAAAGTGAGTGGCAGTGAAGTGCAGAATGTATTGTCCAAATGCCCGTTTTTGCTTGGAATAATGAATTGCCTGAAGATACTTTGTTGTTGGAAATGTGTTAGCATCAGTCATTGTCATATCAGTTGAATGTTGTATTCCTTACCTGAAATGTATAATCTCGAATTTTTCAGCTGTCACAGTTTGTGAGTGTACTTCTGTAACTTACTTGTGCCTTTACACCCCTTATACTTAAATCTTGCTTCCCAATTTGTAAACTTTTACTGTTATGTCCAAAAATGTTTTTCTGTTTTCTGTAGGATTCCAGTGAAAATTTTGAATGAAAAAAACAATTTAAATGATCACTTAGGTAGATAGGGAAAGAGAGAAAACTAGGGTACTGATATTTAGGCATGGAAGCAGCTGTCATATTTGCTAGACTGTGACATAGGTGAGTTAAAAGAAGAGTTCGTTGAGTCTATTTGGTTCTTTTTGGAATTCCAGTTCTTTACGATAGATTTTAAACATGTTAGAAGGCTGCTGGCCTTCAGTAGCTTTTTTCAGAAGGTTTAAAATAATACTGTTTTCTTTGGATCAAATTCAACTCTAAGATTATTTTTTTAAGACTTTAAATGTGTTAATAGTTCACGTTCTGTTACTGAAAATTATCACAGAGAAATTTAATGTGAAAGGCGATTAGTATATTGCTTTGTTAATCTGTTTTCAATAGATTACTTTGTTAATCTGTTTCAACAAAAGTTACCACTGGTACTGATCTGTTAAATATTATAAAATTAATACTTTTCTCTAGTGTCTATTGCATTTTAAAGAGAAAAAGAGAATTCCCAAATTTTGAAAAGGAGCAGTGAAATATTGTCATCAGAA